AACTCTTGGGCTCAAGTGATTCTCTTGCCTCAGCCTCCCAAGTAGCTGGGACTATAGGCGCCCACCACAATGCCCAGCTATTTTTATTTTATTTATTTATTTTTTTTGCAGTTTTTGGCTGGGGCTGGGTTTGAACCCGCCACCTCCGGCATATGGGGCTGGCGCCCTACTCCTTTGAACCACGGGCACCAACCGCCCAGCTATTTTTAGAGACAGGGTCTTGCTTTTGCTTAGGCAAGTCTCAAACCCCGAGCTCAAGCAATCCACCCAATTCAGCCTTCCAGAGTGCTAGGATTACAGGTGTGAGCTACCGTGCCCAGCCCCAAGACTATTAAAATTTTTAAAAATTTAAATTAAATAAAAAATTCAGTTCCTTAGTACAGTTGCCTCATCTGACATGATTAGTAGCCACAGGCAGAAAGTGACTACTGTATTGGATAGAACAAATGCAGTACTTTTCCATAGAAAGTTCTACTGGACATTGGGGTCATATACCCTTACTTAATGTTTGCTCAATGACCTGCTACCTTAGTCTGCTAAGGTTACTATAACAGAATATCATAAACTGTGTCTTAAACAACACACATTTGTTTCTCACAGTTCTTGAGGCTGCGGAGTCTCAGATCAAGGTCCATTCAATTCCTGGCTTACACATCATAAGTAGGACTCTGTAAGAATATTTCTGGAATTAGTTTATCCTACTGCAAAGTGGCCAAAATGTATCACTTTTCCTTTTATCTCACCTGCCATAACCTTTCTTTAGATTTCCAAACTCAGTCTGTAGAAGCCTACAACTGAATCCTTTGGTTAATTTATACCTCTAGATTTTAACTGTAGTCCATTTACTAGTATAAAGTATAAATGTAATCATATCCAGTATTGAGTTATAGCATTCAGATAACTATGGTCTGTTGAAATACTTGTTTCTGTCAAATCACACATCTTTTGGGGGAAATTTGGTTCTTGTTATAGATAATGATACTTATATGTTAGAGCCTTCCTTACTTATTTCTGCCTTACCTTGTTTGAGGCATAATAACTAAGGGGAACATAAATACTCAGTTCAAGTCTGGGCACATTAATCAAGTGTGACATTATGTCCTCTGTATTTCTAATAGTAGTTCTTTTTCTTTCTTTCTTTCTTTTTTTTTGAGACAGAGTCTCACTGTGTTGCCCTGGGTAGAGTGTAGTGGCATCACAGCTCACAGCAACCTCAAACTCTTGGGCTTACATGATTCTCTTGCCTCAACCTCCCAAGTAGCTGGGACTACAGGCATTCACCACAACACCTGGCAGTTGTCATTTTTTATTGCAGTTGTCATTGTTGTTTTTTAGCTGGCCAGGGCTGGGTTTAAACCTGTCAGCCTTGGTGTATGTGGAGGCACCCTGCCCACTGAGCACAGGCACTGCCCCAATAATAGTTCTTGAAGGAAAAAAAACAAAAAACGAATGATTAGCTTTTTAAATTGATTTTTATTATAAAATATAAAATACGTGAAAATGATTTTTATTTCAGTTATAGTATTAATTTGATAATCTTTTAAGAGAAAGCACCACATTAAAATACATTCATTAAAAAATCTAAAATATATATGCTAAAATGACTTTAATAGTAATTACATCAATAGCAAATCATGAAATTCAGAAATGTTTTCTAATCACAAATCTAAAATTGGAGGGTTTCAAACTTACATGTCTTCAGAGCTGAGCAGAAAATACAAAGTAGAGGAGAAGTCTGATGTATGAGGGAGTCCAAGGGTCTGTGGCAAACTGAGGAATGCAGGCCCAATCTAAAGGCTTTACAAATTCAGAAATCTTGGAAACATTATGTATACCAAATGAAACAACTGTGGGTCAAACTGGCCCTTGTGGACTACCAGTTTATAAGCCTGGTACACATGAATTTCTAGCATTTTATGTAGTACCTCATTCTCAAAAATGGCAGATAGCATTTCTTCAGCACTTCTTTGAAGTTATATATATATGAACACTTGACCCACTACTTGGGGAAAGTGGGTAAAAAAATTCTACGAAAAGGTATTTTGTACTTTGAGTTAATTAACTGAGATAGTTTCATGGATATATTCTTAAAATATCCTGGTTTTCTGGGTGGTGTCTGTGGCTCAAAGGAGTAGGGCGCCGGCCCCATCTGCCAGAGGTGGTGGGTTCAAACCAGCCCCGGCCAAAAACTGCCAAAAAAAAAAAAAAAAAAAATCTGTTTTCTCTCTCTTTTTTTTTGAGACAGTCTGACTCTGTCACCAGGGGTAGAGTACCATGAAGTCATAGCTCACAGAAACCTCAAACTCCTAGGCTCAAGTGATCCTCTTGCCTCAGCTTCTCCAGTAGCTGGGACTACAGGTGCCCGCACCACAGACAGCTAATTTTTCTATTTTTAATAGAGACAGGGTCTCACTCTTGCTCAGGCTGGTGTTGAACTCCTGTGCTCAGGTGATCCACCCACCTTAGCCTCCCAGAGTGCTAGGATTACAGATACTGAGCCACCACAACCAGCTAAAATATCTGGTTAAGAGATGAAAGTTTAAAGATAGCATCTCTCACATTTTATTTGGGAAAAATTGTTGAAATAAAATCAAAATTTCTTTTTTTTTTTTGATAGTGGTTCAGTTTGTTGCACGGGCTAGCGTAAAGTGGCATCATCACAGCTCACTGCAATCCAAACTCCTGGATGCAAGGGATCCTCCTGTTTAGCCTTCCAAAAATACCTGAGACTATGGGCATGCTCTACCATGGTTGGCTAATTTTTGTATTTTCTGTATAGGGTCTCACTATGGTGCTCAGGCTGATCTCTAAGCAATCCTCCTGAATGCTAGAATTATAGGTGTGAGCCACTCTGCCTGCCTCATTTTTTTAACAGAAATTCACACTCCATAAGAAATTACTACTTAGTAAGAAACATTTATGTAGGCTCGGCACCTGTGGCTCAAGCGGCTAAGGCGCCAGCCACATACACCTAAGGTGGCAGGTTCAAATCCTCAGCCTGAGCCCACCAAACAACAATGGTGGCTGCAACCAAAAAATGGCCGGGCGTTGTGGTGAGTGCCTGTAGTCCCAACTACTTGGAAGGCTGAGGCAGGAGATTCGCTTGAGCCCAGGAGTTGGAGGTTGCTGTCAGCTGTGATGCCATGGTACTCTACCCAGGGGGATAGCTTGAGGCTCCGTCTCAGAAAAAAAAAAAAAAAAAAATTTATGTAAAAATTAAAATATTGGTTTTGCTAAAGCAATCCTCTTGAATGTTAGAATTACAGGTGTGAGCCATTCTGCCTGCCTCATTCTTTTAATAGAAATTCACACTCCATAAGAAATTACTGCTTAGTAATAAACATTTATGTAAAAATTAAAATATTGATTTTGCTAAAGCCATTGATCAGAAAGCATTCAATCATATCACCTCATCTTATAAACATGACATAAGAAAATCATTATAGTTCAATTGACAATGTTTTACTTTAACGGGCATTTTGTAGAACTTTAGTAGATTTTGTACTTTCAGTTAAAACTAAAGACTCTTTTCTGAATATGCTATAGTTGAAATAGCTATAAATTGTAGGTGGTATGCCAAGGCAGTTTTAAAGAAGTTACTACTTTCTCTGCCATCATGACTTCACATTAATTTTTAAACAGTTGTAAAAAATTAAGATGATGGATGAGGCATTAGAGTGACAAATGAAATCTTTCACAAGGCTGAAAAGGCACATTAGAATTAAAATAGTCTCACAAGACTAAAAATACCTATTTAAAAAGAATTCATAGACAATACAGATTTCAAAGAAAACTCAAACAGGCTTACTTCAAACCTTCATACAATACCCAAAATATTTTCTACTTTTTTCTTTGACATGGTATCTTTCAGCTAAAGAGGTTTAACATAAAAAGCACCAAATCTAGCCTTATAAGCTCCCATTTTTAAAAATTAGTATTATATAAAATTTTAAGTCTTTTCTGTAAAATAAAGTTTATATGGGACAAAATTAATTTCATATGTGTCTATTAAATTCTGAAATTAAAATGCCCAAAATGTTGAGCACTTGGGTAAAATCAGATGTTTAGCAAACTGAAGAGTAGGCATACAAAAAATGTTTGACACAGTATCCATCAATTAATGCAACAGGCCTTCTAATATTTCCACATTTTGTGAATTAAAACTTTTAAAGTAGGGGAAATATGTTTGGCATTTTTTTCTAACCTAATCTTCACTAAATTTTAAAGTCTAGCCAAGTCTAATGTATCTTATCTGCATTTCAACATATGCTTTCATTATTAAAAACACTTATCTACAAGGCAATCAGGATTTTTTAGAATTCAAAGTTAACACTGATTTTACACATCATAAGTATTTATTTCCAAGGCAGAAAGTTAACTAAAGTTGAAAACAAGATTAGAAATTCACCAGACATTGAAAAAAGAACTAAAGATGTTTCTCAAAGCAATAGCAAAGTATCATTATAAGGGTACACAGTACAGACTGATAAATTACAATCTTAGTTTGATTTAGCAATTCTATTAAAAACGAACAGGGTTTTTATGAATAAATTTATTTTAAATAAATGAATTATTCATAATTAAAAATTTAAAGTTTTCATAAATAGTAACGACAGACTAGAAATTTAGTATATGGGATTCCAACAAACAATAATAAAAATATTTAGCATTATTTAATTCAAGTATGGTTTTAAAATTATTCAAATGTATTCAAAGTTTATAGCTGATGGATCTGTAACACTGAATTCCAAACTAAATTGATAAGCAATTAGATATATATTGCTGTCTGCTTGTTCTTCACATCATTATAGGATGAAAATTCCTTTTGTTATAAACATGATGGCTGTACTGTTTACGTGACATGATCCAATTAGTTAGCATACTTAAGGAGGAAGCGTTCAAATGCATCATAGATGGCTTGTCTAAAATTAAATATGAAAGAAAAAGTACAAGTAAATACCAAAGAAGGGAGACAGACAATACCTTTACTGTAAGTTATTTCCAAATTATCTATGGCTTGCAACCTGACATTTTCTCTAAATAACCATGAAAGAGGTAGTGAGGATGAAGTGTGGATTCCTGTAACTTCACCACCACTACTGGAAAAATCTCAAATGTATTTCCAACTGATGCTAGATCTCGAAGCATTATGTATTTTTTTAAAGAATTGTTTTGTGCATTACAAAGTATACATATAACAAAAATAAAATACCTAAAATAATAAAAAGGAACTGGTTTCTCTTTATTCTCTTTTGTCAAAAATTATGTAAATTTTCAGAATGTGAGATTCAATCTATTTCATAGATTACAAAATAAAGATATGGATTTTTTTTGTTTACTAAGAACATGTTCCTAATAACTGAATTCAAATCAAAAAGCCTTGTTCTGACTTTCTAGAACAGGCGTCCTCAAACTGTGGCCCACCTAGGACATTTATCCGGCCTGCCGGGTGTTTGTGCTGCTGCTGCCTGTCCTGCTTAACAGCTGACTCATCCCAGGGCCTGCAGTCTGGCCCTCCAACGGTCTGAGGGACAGTGAACTGACCCCCTGTTTAAAAAGTTTGAGGACCCCTGTTCTAGAAGGTATTTTTTCTTTCTTTTTAGAGATGGGGTCACACTGTGTTGCTGAGGCTAAAGTGATGATCATGGTACACTACAGCCTTGACCTACTGATCTCAAGTGATCCTCTTGCCTGAGCAGCCTCCTAAATAGCTAAGGACTTCAGTAGGCACATATTACTACATCTGTTCCTAACATATTTTTTATAGATCTTATTTTTTTCTTTTCCTTTTTTGAGACAGGGCCTATACTCTGTTGTAGTGTAGAGTACAGTGGTGTCATCATAGCTCACGGCAAACTTAAGCTGTTGAATTCAAGTGATTCTCTTGCCTCAGCGTCTGGAAGTGCTAGGATTACAAGAGTGAGGCATCACTCCTAGCATTTCCATTGCAGAGTACAGGCAGTCTCCAAGTTACAAACATCTGACTGACATACGACTCACACTTATAAACAGAGGCTATTAAAGGTAATAGGTAACCTATTTGTTCCAACTAATATACAAATACAACTTAAAACAAACCTATAGAACCCATCTCATTTGTAATAGGGAGACTGTCTGTATTCAGAAAGGGGAATATAGAATATATCCAAAGTATAGAAATGGGGAAAGAGTCATAATCCCAACACTCTAAAGCATATGCTATTAATCTTTTCATATTATTTCCCCCATGTTTTAAAAAAAGCATGTGTCTTATTTTTTACTCGCTTTAAATAACTATGAGATATTAATTTTGTGTCTTATTTATGTAATAAGCATTTTTCCATATCCTAACAAAGATATTACCCTTAAAAATAACAGCCTGCTAATAGATTGTTATTTTCAATACATTGAGAAGATACAACTTTCTACTACTCTGGAGGCTGAGACAAGAGGATCACTTGAGCCCAGGACTTTGAGGTTGCTGTGAGCTAGGACACCATAGCACTCTACCAAGAGCACAGAGAATGTGTCTTAAAAAAAAAAAAAAAAAAAACTATCCGGGCCAGGTACAGTGGCTCATGCCTGTAATCCTAGCGCTCTGGAAGGCCAAGGTGGGTGGAGTGCCCTGAACTCACAGGTTTAAAACCAGCCTGAGAGAGAGCGAGATCCGGTCTCTTAAAAAAAAAAAAGCCTGGCATTGTGGCAGGCACCTGTAGTTCCAGCTACTTGGGAGGTTGAGGCAAGAGAATCACTTACGCTCAAAGTTTAAGTTTGCTGTAAGCTAGAGTGCCAGAGTACTCTACCCAGGGTGACAAAGTGAAACTCTTATCTAAAAAAAAAAGCCAAATGTTATAGCAGGTACCTATAGTCCTAGGTACTCAGGAGGCTGAAGCAAGGGGAATGCTTGAGCTCAAGAGTTTGGGTCACTGTGAACTATGACACCACGGCACTCTACCAAGAGCACAGAGAGAGACCATGTCTCAAAAAAAAAAAAAGAAAGAACTTGTTCCTTATAAATTATAACAAACCACGAGAAGGGAAACAAAGCTGGACATTTTGCATGCTGATATAAACACATAAAGAGATTTTGTTTTGAGGGCAGGTGTGAGAACAGAGAGAAAGAACTTTGGGATGTTTACCCACTGGACAATTTTTTTTTTTCAGAGTTAATTGTGGGCACTTGCTCTGGTAGAATGACTCTTAATTTGTTTTACTTCCTGATGCCCTAAAGTTGTAATCTGGGCTTGAGTACATGGTATGAGGAAGATTAGGAAAGGTACACAAATGCCTTTTTAATCATTTGAATAGTCTCTTATTCATTTGGATTATTAATTAGCTCTTAAAAAGCTTAAAATTGGAGCATATAAAGGAGTGACTTCTTTCACATTTAGTGAGTGAGAGACTAAATTTGTAGTGTGATGTCATCTAAACTCTCAGGTTTGTTTTTTGTTTTTTTTTTTGAGACAGAGTCCTACTACATTGCCTTTGGTGAAGTGCCATGGCATCACAGCTCATAGCAACCTCAAAACTCTTGGGCTCAAGTGATTCTCTTGTCTCAACCTCCCAAGCAGCTGGCACAGGCACCTGCCACAATGCCTGGCCATTTTTTTTCCTTTATTTTTTTGGTTGCAGTTGTCATTGTTTAGCTGGCACGGGGGTGGGTTCAAACATGGCAACTTCAGTGCATGTAGCTGGTGCCATAACCACTGTACTACGGGCACAGAGCCTTTGTTTTTGGCTTTTTTTAGACAGAGTCTCACTCTGTCACCCTGAGTAAAGCCATGGCATCATAGCTCACAGCAACCTTAATCTCTTGGGCTCAAGGAATCCTCCTGCTTCAGCCTCCCGAGTAGCTGGGACTACAGGCACCTGCCACCATGCCGGACTAGTTTCTCAATTTTTGGGAGAGATGGGATCTTGAATTCCTGAGCTCAAGCAATTCACCCACCAGGCCTCCCATAGCTCTCAGGGTGCTAGGATTGCTATCCTGACCCACCACACCAGGAACTCCTAGTTTCCGACTGGTAAGGGGTAGTGACTCCACTTAAACAACCTACTTAACCTTTTTTGTTTGGTCCCTTTAATCCAGTGGTTCTCAACCTGTGGGTCTCAATGCTTTGGGGGTCAAATGACCCTTTCACAGGGGTTGCCTAAAACCATCACACACACCCTGTATAAGTACAGGTATATGAAAATAATTTTATGGTTGGGGTCACCACAACATGAAGAACTGTATTAAAGGGTCACGGCATTAGGAAGGTTGAGAACCACTGCTTTAATCTATATATAAAGGGGATGAAAACATGAAAGCAATTGCCTTAGTATCTAGTAAACAACAGTCACAGTTAATATTTATCTCCTTTTCAAATGAAGCCTTCATCTTAGCACTTTTGAGGTTTTTTATTGCCCAGGCTACAGCGCCATGGCAGCATCAGCCTTGCTCACTGCAACCTCAAACTCTTGGGTTCAATCAATCTTCCTACCTCAGCCTCCTCCTCAGTAGCTCCGATTACAGGCTCCTGCCACAAGGCCTAGCTAGTTTTTATAATTTTAGTAAAGACAAGGTCTTGCTCTTGCTCAAGCTGGTCTTGAACTCCTTGAGTTCCAGCAATCCACCTGCGTTAGCCTCCCAGAATGCTAGGATTACATGCGTGAGCAACTGTGCTTGGCTCCACTTTTGAGTTTTTACATCTGACTTTGATTAAGACTACTCTGCCTAACACTTCTCATCTGTATTGCAACAGTGATATACAAAAGAACAAAGGAAATTTGATACTGATTTACTAATGCGAGCATGTGGATCCTCTGCATTCATTCATACATGCAACAGAACTTTGGACTCTTTTTGAACAATTCTAGCAACTCTGCATATTCAGTTTTTGTTTGTTTCAGTTTTACTGTGCCAGAGAGTCACTGAGTATTGGATAGTCTGCTCACTTATCAACTAATAGGAACTCAAATGCTGAATGAGTATTTTTTAAAAGATCATATTATAAAAATAAAGATTTACCAAATCTTTCAAGTCATAATAGACTTCAATTAATCTATATCTCATAAAGGTCACACTTATAAATTGAACTAAACAAGCAACATGCAAAATATTACTGTTTATATTAATAAGCTAAAACATGTCAAACATATATGTTATTCTATTATATAGTTATCCAGTTGGCAGTTTTCAAACACTTATGCATATTGACCACCTCCTTATGTTGACATGATTTTCACTGACTGAACATGCACCACATGTATGTATCAGTACAATAGGTCTAGTTTCTTATGTTGACCACCTCCGTATGGTTTATTTTTGTTCTTTTTTTTCAAGACAGTCTTACTATGTGCCATGGAGTCACAGCTCACAGCAACCTCAACTCTTGGGCTTAAGCAATTCTCTTGCCTCAGTCTCCCAAGTAGCTGGGACTGCAGGCACCTGCCAAAATGCTCGGCTGTTTTTTCTTCTTGTTATCATTGTTGTATGGCAGGCCTCCAACGGGTTCAAACCCACCAGCCCTGGTGCATGTGGCCGGTGCCCTAACCACTGAGCTATGGGTACTGAGCCTACCACCTCTGTATGTTGACCAGTTCATTACAGTGCCTAGATAGTCAACTTACAGAGGTTCTAGTGTATTTAGCTTGATCCAAACTGAAATCTTTTTTTTTTTCTGCTAGCTTCCATTCCTAAATTTTTGGTCTCTCCCATTCTTCTAGTTGTCTAGAATTAAACCTGGCAGATATCTTGACTCCCTCTGATCCTTAATATTGTTCAGAGCTTCCACTGTATGTTCCAATGATATAATTTATCATCAAATTTGGATAGAAGTAGTCTGGGCACAGTGGCTCACATCTGTAATCCTAGTATTTTGGGAGGCTGAGGCGGGTGGATTACTTGAGCTCATGAGTTCAGCCTGAGCCACAGTGAGACACCGCTTGTACTAAAAATAGAAAAACTGACCAGGTATAGTGGTGGTTGCCTGTAGTCCTAGCTACTTGGGAGGCTGAGACAACAGGATCTCTTGAGCCCAAGAGTTTAAGGTTGCTGTGAGCTATGATGCCATAGCTCTCTACCGAGGGCAACAAAAATTCTGTGTCAAAAAAAAAAAAAAAAAGAAAGAAATTTGGATAGAAGTAGAAATAACGTAGACTATCATAAAATTGGAGTTATAGCATAAAAATTTTCATAATTTCTGACTAAAACGATGGAATTATATGCGGTTGTTAACAAAACCACTTCTTGTTTAAGGTTCAGTATTCACTTGCTAACTGGACAACATTGCTAGAATATTCCACAGATGCTTAGGCCATTCTAAGAAAACATCAGAGTGAAAAAACTTTGATATACCAACACACCTTTTACAAACTGTGATGTTGTTCCCCAAATCCTAAAATACCTGGAAATTAATATTTCAAGAATGTAAAACCACATGATAAAGCAATCTTCTTATTTTCTTTTGCTTCTAGCTCAGAGCTAGAAGAAAATAAGAAATAAGAAAAGAAGAAGATGACATAGAAAAGAGAGAAAAGCACCTAAACAGGGGATCTATGTGGGAATCAGGGAATCAAAGAGGAAATAAGAGGACTAAAACATACACTGTAAATACCACCTTTTCTTTTGTATTTGTTGAGGCAAAAATTCCCCTATCCTGAAAAACCGAAATACCAAATAAACAGACAACTGTTAGAGCAATCATCTTACCTGAACAGTCCTTGCTTAAAAAGATAAGCACTAATATGACCCCCTTCTAGATATCGGATTTCACAACCAGGCCAAATTTCTTGAAGACTTCGAACTCCTGTTCGTGGAATATAGGCATCTTCTTTGGCTTGAACCACTATAATGAGGCTTGGGTCAACTGGAACTAAGTATACGATTTTTTAAAATTTAGCACAGACAAACTTAAAAAGCCCTGAGATTTTCAAATAATACTATTAATCATATTAGAAAATAAAATACACCATAATGCAGTGAAATATTCATCAAAAACACCATACAGGCTGGGCTCTGTGGCTCATACTGGCTCATACCTGTAAATCATAGCACTCTTGGAGGCTGAGGCGGTATGGTTTGCCTGAGCTCACAGGTTCGAGACCAGCCTGAGACAGATCGAGACCTCACCTCTAAAAATAGCCAGGCATTGTGGCAGGCACCTACTTGGAAGACCTAGACAAGAAAATTGCTTGAGCCCAAGAGTTTGAGGTTACTGTAACCTAAGATGCCACAGCACTCTACCTAGGACGATAAAATGAAACTTTGTCTACAAAAAAAAAAAAAAAAAAACAACTCACCAAACAATGCAATGAAGTAATTGTCAAACTAAAACTCTTTGATTAAGTTGAAAATCAATTATAATATGCCATATTACCAAGTTATTCATCTCCTATACAATGAGATGAATACTTTAAAGAAGATACAAAATCCAATGTGTCTTTTTTTTGCAGTTTTTGGCTGGGTGCTGGGTTTGAACCCGCCACCTCCAGCATAAGGGACGGAGCCACAGGCACCGTCTTCCAATGTGTTTTTTAATGAATGAGATGATCTTAGATTTTCATAAATGAAATAAATATACTTTTAAGTAACCAACTTATCTTGACAAACACTTTTTGTTGTTGTTTTTGAGACAGTCTCAAGCTGTCATCCTGGGCAGAGTGCTGTGGCTTCATAGCTCACAGCAACCCCACAACTCTTGAGCTCAGTGATCCTCTTTCCTCAGTTTTTCTATTTTTGTAGAAACAGGGTCTTGCTTTTGCTCAAGTTGGTCTCGTGAGCTCAAGCAATCTACCCACCTCGGCCTCCCAGAGTGCTAGGATTAGAGCCGTGAGCCACCTTGCCCAGCCAACAAACACATTTTGAAGCCAACAAAAAATATACTCTTGAAGATAAAAAATTATCCTGTAACGTATCCTTAAAAATATTTCACAAATATTTACACATCAAATGTTCTCAATTTCATATAAAAATCAGTACCTGAGAAATTTGCTACATGAGTACATTCATCCATGACTCCTTTCATAAATATTAAAGATTCTTTCTGAAGATTATTTCTTCTTTGTTCTTTACTGAGTAGGTGGTGTGACTGAGGGTTGGAACTTGTATAACTACTTTTGTTGGTTGAAAGTTTTTGATTGAAGTACTCCATCTTAGAGGCATCTTGCAATAAGAGTCTTTCTGATGTGCCACTGATAGATGTTTTACTAGAATTATGGCACTCAGCAGGTTTTTGGGATACAACTGGGTCTGTTACATCTAAATTTAAAGTTCTAGAAACCAGGTTAAGGTTAGTTAGCTTGTCTGCATTGGTAGGGAAGTGTTTCACAAACTCTTGTCCCATTTTGAAAGAATCTGTCTGAGTATATGAAAGAAAAGAAAGTATCAATATAAAATAGGGTTTCATTTAATAACCTTGTTAAAGAGAAAAGACAAATGTCCATCAATGGATAAATGAACAAACAAAATTATGTATACATCAACTGTGGAATATTATGTTACAACATGAATGAACACTAAAGACTTCATGCTAAGTAAATAAGCAAAACACAAAAGGACCTATCTTGTATGAGGTCCCTATACCAGTAAAATTCACAGAGATGGAAAGAGAATGGCAGTTGCTGGGAGAAAGGAGGAATAAAGGAATTTTAGTCAATGGGTAGAGTTCAGTTTGGGAAGACAAGGATCTGGAGATCTAGGTGGTGGTGCTAACGGTTGCACAACAATGTGAATGTAACACTTAATGCCACCAAATAGTATGCTTAAAAATGGCTAAATAGTAAATTTTATGTTGTATATATTTATCATAATTTATCCTAGGAATAATATAAATTGAAGCACAAGAGGACACCAGCCATATCAAATTCCATCCTCAGGTTGAACAAATAAGACTTAAACATTACCAGTGAAAAAGGCTAGGTATAGTGGCTCATGCCTGTAATATCAGCATTTTGGAGGCTGAGGTGGGAAGATTGTTTGAGGCCAGGAGTTTAAAACCAGCCTGGGCAACACAGCGAGACCTCATCTCTTTTTTTTTTTTGGACAGAGTCTCACTTTGTTACCCCTAGTAGAGTGCTATGGTGTCGTAGCTCACAGCAACTTCAAGCTCTTGGGCTTAATCAACACTTTTTTTTTTGAGACAGAGTGTCACTATGTCGCCCTTGGTAGAGTGCTGTAGTGTTACAGCTTACAGCAACCTCAAACTCAGGTCTAAGCGATTCTCTTGCGTCAGCCTCCCTGGTAGCTGGGACTATAGGCACCCGCCACAATGCCCAGCTATTTTGGTTGCAGTCGTCTTTGTTGTTTAGCAGATCTGGGCTGGGTTCAAACCCGCCAGCCTTGGTGGATGTGGCTGGCACCCTACTCACTGAGCTACGGACAACAAGCCTCAAGCTATACTCTTGCCACAGCTTTCTGAGTAGCTGGGACTACAGTTACCTGCCACAGCACCTGGCTATTTTTACAGATGGGATCTCGCTTTTGTTCAGGTTGTTCTCAAATCTGTAAACCCCTTCAATCTACCCACCTCAAACTCCCAGAGTGCTAGGATTACAGGCATGAGCCACCATGCCTGGCCAAGACCCCATCTCTGAGGAAAAAAAAAAATAAGTAAAGCTGACGACGCTCCTTTCCTCATGGGGCCCTGGTGTGCAATGGCTGCAAACAGTAGTCTCTTTGGTAGTGTATGCAGCCTGTTGCTTGTATAGGTTGTTCTAAGGTACCTTAGAGACATTCCTGATACATGTTCATGTGACCTGTGCTGTCCCCAATTGAGGCTCTAGACAGGTATACGTGGTGCCTTTGGAAAGCCCCAGGGCACTGTGGCCAGGGTTCACATTGATTAAGTCATTATGTCCATCTACAGCAAATTACAGAACAAGGAGCTTGTGATTGAGGCCCTTCTCAGGGTCAAGTTCAAGTTTCCTGGCCTCCAGATTCACATCTCCAGAAAAATGGGGTTTTACCAAGTTTATCTCAGATAAATTTGAAGACACGGTGCTGAGCAGCAGCTCTAGTTCATACCAAATGGCTGTGGGGTCAAATATAGTCCCAATTGTGGGCCCCTGGAAAAGTGGCACGCCCTGCACTCATGAGGACTTACACTGTGTTGCCTATCATTTGCACCTACCAATAATAAATCCTACTTCCTGTCCAATATATATATAAAAATCAGCTGGGCAGCACCCGTGGCTCAAAGGAGTAGGGCGCTCGCCCCATATGCCAAAGGTGGCGGGTTCAAACCCAGCCCTGGCCAGAAACTACAAAAAAAAAAAAATTAGCTGAGTGTGGTGGTACACATCTATAGTCCTAGCTACAGAGGAAGCTGAGGTGGGAGGATCACTTGAGCCCAGAATTGTAAGGCTGAAATGAGCTATAATTGCAGTACTATATTCTAGCCTCTGGGCAACAGAGTGAGACCCATGTCTTTAAAAACAATCAGTTACCAAAGAAAAAAGTATTGCCTACAAAAGAAAAAAATTATAGCCTTAGAATTTATATTTACAACTCATGAAACAGTCACTTTAATTCATTAAGAATTAGAATTGGGGCTGGGCACAGTGGCTCAAGCTGATAATTAGCCTGAGCACAAGTGAGACCCTGTTTCTTTAAAACACACACACACACACACACACACACACACACACACACACACACACACGTCAGGTGTAGTAGCAGCACACCTGTAGTCCCAGCTCAGCTATTCAGGAGGCTGAGTCATGAGGATTGCTCAAGCCTAAGAGTTTGAAGCTGCTGTGAACAACAATGACACCATGGCACGCTACCCAGAGCAACAACAACAACAAAAGAGCCAGGCACAGTGGCTCATGCCTGTAATCTCAGCACTAGAGAAGCCGAGGCAGATGGATTGCCTGTGCTCATAGGTTGGAGACTAGCCTGAGCCAGAATGAGACCTCGACTCTAAAAATTGCCAGTTATGGTGGTGGGTGCCAAGAGTCCCAGCTACTTGGGAGGCTGAGGCAAGAGAATCACTTAAGCCCAAGAGTTTGAGGTTGCTGTGAGCTATGATGCCATGGCACTGTACCCTGGGCAACAAAGTCAGACTCTGTCTCAAACAACAAAAAAAGAATTAAAATTGGATAATTTTTTTTAAAAGTACAAAACCCCAGAAATGAGCAAAGGATATACACATAACAGTTATAGAGAATGAAAAATATGCTCAATTTCTCTCATAATAAAATAAAATCTGTATTAAAAAATCTGTATTTCATATTAAATCTATACCATTTTCCACTATCAATTGATTTTTTTCTCCATTCTTGCTCAGGCTGGTATCAATTGATTTTTAAAAAACTCCAAGCTTGGGCGGTGTCTGTGGCTCAGTGAGTAGGATGCTGGCCCCATCATATACTGAGGGTGGTGGGTTCAAACCCAGCCCTGGCCAAACTGCGACAAAAAAATAGCCGGGCGTTGTGGTGGGCACCTGTAGTCCCAGCTACTCGGGAGGCTGAGGCAAGAGAATCGCCTAAGCCCAAGAGCTGGAGGTTGCTGTGAGCTGTGATGCTACAGCACTCTACTTATGGTGATAAAGTGAGACTCTGTCTTTAAAAACAAACAAACAAACTCCAAGCTTGACAACACACTGAATTTATGAACTTACAGAGAAACAGATAACTTCCTGCTAGTAGTATAAGTTGATACAATTAGAATTAGGTAAAATCTATCATAGCCAAATAACAAATGACTTCTTTTTCCTTTTTTACAAATGACTTTTAACTCAGCAATATTTCTCGGAATTTATACTTGTGCAAAGATAAATGCCCAGAGTGATTCATCGCACCACTATTTCTTGATGAAAGATAAGAAATAATATAAACATCTATCAACAGGGTACTAGTTAATAAATTATTATACATTCATCTACATAATTTTTACTGCTTTTTTATATAGCAGCAAAAAGTAATAAGGAAACATTTGTCCATAGGTCATAAGAAAGGGAAGAGAGGCTCAGTGCCTGTAGCTCAGCGGCTAGGGTGCCAGCCACCTACACCGGAGCTGGTGGGTTTGAATCCAGCCTGGGCCTGCCAAACAATGACAATTACAACCAAAAAATAAAAATAGCCAAGCATTGTGGTGGGCACCTGTAGTCCCAGCTTCTTGGGAGGCTGAAGCAAGAGAATCACTTAAGTCCAAGAGTTTGAGGTTGCTGTGAACTGTGATACCACAGCACTCTACCAAGGGTGACAAAATGAGACTCTGTCTCAAAAAAATAAAAAAAGGGAAGAAAAAAAAATTCCTATTTGTAGTGGTATATATATATATATATCAAAAATTCTCTGAAACATTAAAGAATAATATAACAAGTTATTTGTGGAGGGGGATAGAACCTATGCAAATAGGGAACATAGGTAGGAATATTTTCATATGTCTGTATTTATTTTAATCTTTTTGATGCTTTAACTATATGACCATATAATTACTATACAGTAGAACCTCCATAGTTGACTACCTCCCTCCATTGACCACCTCCTTAAGCTGACCTAATTTTCATAGACCAAACATGTACCACATGTATGTATCAATATAGTAGGCCTAATTTCTTACCTTGACCACCTCCATATGTTGACCAGTTTGTTATAATCCCTTGGGTGGTCAATTTACAGAGCAGGGCCTACTATATTTTAAAAATTAAAGAATTAAAAATTTGTTAAAGGCCAACGAAAAAAATGCCCAACAACCTGGTTACCAGAACAAATCACTACAACCATCCAGACCACAGAAATATTAAAAAAAAAAAAAGTTCATTAACAATTAGAAATATAAGGACTGAGGACCCTAGGATAACTCAGAGTGGTACACAAACAAATTTAACTCCTTTTTTTTGGAGACAGAGCCTCAAGCTGTCCCCCTGGGTGGAGTGCTGTGGCATCACAGCTCACAGCACCTCCAACTCCTGGGCTTAAGCGATTCTCTTGCCTCAGCCTCCCAAGTAGCTGGGACTACAGTCACCTGCCACAGTGCCCGGCTATTTTTTGGTTGCAGCCATCATTGTTGTTTTTGGTGGACCCGGGCTGGATTCGAACCCGCCACCTTAGGTGTATGTGGCTGGCACCTTAGCCACTTGAGCCACAGGCGCTGAGCCCAAATTTAATTCCTTTTGATTGGGAAAACACAAAGAATAGGGAAGTCTTCTTGGCATTCATTGAATATTCATTACTATAAACTGGTTCTGAGATAGGAGTGCTAAGGTAAGACCATTGCTATGGTTTGCATGTGTCCCCCAAAGTTCAGGTGTTGGAATCTTAATCTTTAATGCAATAGAATTGTGAAATGAGACCTTTAAGAGGTGATTGGTCCTAAGGGCTCTGCCCTCAAGAATAGGTTAATATCCTTCTTGTGGGAGTGGTTTATTTCTCAACCTGTGTTTCTGATAAGAATAAGCTCAGCTCCTACCCTCTCTACCCACTCTCTTTCTCTCTTTTGCATGCACACAAACATTCCCTCAGGGGATGACATATTCCCCAGATTTCAGTCCCTTGACTTACCAGCCTCCATAACTGTGTACCACATAAATCTCTATTCTTATCAATCAGTCATTCTCAGCTATTCTGTTATGTACTACACAGTGAAGTAGGAAAACGTTCCATTTCAGACAACCAAAATTTATGAATTTCCTTTAAAAAATACATGTTAAGCCCGGTGTGGTGACTTGCGCTTATAATCCTAACACTCTGGGAGGCTGAGGTGGGTGGATTGTTTGAGCTTAGCAGTTTGAGACCAGCCTGAGCAAGAGTGAGACCCCCGTCTCTAAAAATATAGCCAGGTGTTGTGTCAGGCACCTGTAGTCACTTGGGAGGCTAAGGTAAGAGAATTGCTTGAGCCCAAAAGTTTGAGGTTGCTGTGAGCTATGACGCCAAGGGACTCTACCAAGGGTAACAAATTGAGTCTCTGTTGGGCAAAACAAAAACAAAAAAAATGTTAAATTTTCTCATTTAGTTTTCAAATATAGATATCTTCTGTGTGTATATATAGTGCAACACAGGAACTAATTAGCAGGTAAAGCTGTTTTGTAATTAAGTTCTTAGCTAAGCAGTTATATGTTTTGAGGTTATGCAAGATAGACCTACTTTATAAGAGTAAGGTTTACAGTGATATAAATGAAAGGTCCTCATTGATAGTATTAATAGAAAGATCTCTTTTCTTGCTGAGGTTCTTGAGGTCTCAAGTGTTTCTTTTTTTGTTTTTTTTGTTTGCAGCTTTTGGCCAGGGGCTGGGTTTGAACCCACGATCTCCAGCATATGGAGCCAGTGCCCTATTCCTTTGAGCCACAGGCACCGACTTCAAGTGTTTCTCTCAAAATGCCACATTTAAAAATTTATAGGCTGGGCGTGGTGGGTCACACCTGTAATCCCAGCACTGCCGGGAAGCTGAGGCAGATGGATTACCTGGATCACAGGTTTGAGACCAGCCTGAGCCAGAGCAAGACCCCCTCTCTTAAAAAAAAATAGCTGGGCATTGAAGCAGGCACCTGTAATCCCAGCTACTCAGGAGGCTGAGGCAAAAGGATTACTTGAACCCGAGAGTTTGAGGTTGCTGTGAGGTAAGACACCATGGCACTCTACCAAGGGTGACCAATTGAGACTATGTCTCAGAAAAAATAAAAATAACATAAAATAAAATAAAAATTTATGAAAAGAATTGCCTACTTTTGAAGAATAATAAGGGAACTAGTTGATTATCAAAAAACTGGTTAAATCAGGAAAAAGAATCAAACATTTATCCTTTGTTAATCCTTTCCTATGTGTACTGAACTACTAGGTAACTAGATAATAGGTAAAGAAAATACCTCCTTATAAAAGTATTCAAACTAATAAATGAAAAAAATAATAGAATATTCTATTATAATAGAATTAGAGTATCAGCATTTTGTAAGTCTCAATGAATTAACAAATACAGCCATTAAGCATCAGTGAAAGGTTATATCAAAGGGAAGGAAACCTGTATAATGTATTTCCTATAGTCTTGAGAAAGAAATCAAAACTAAGTTTAATAGTTTTTAGATACAGCTACCAATTTTCAGGCAATGTAGATCAATATGCTGAATACAATCAGAAAAATCTACAGATGGTGAGAAACTCTATAGGTCAAAATAACCTAACTTCTTCAAGAAGTAAAAAAGAAACGAAACAGATGGAAGGGAATTTATTAATTAAAAGATACCTTAAACAACTATATGATCTTTATTTAGACATTAAAATTATTTTAAAGACAGAAGGAAATCATTACTATACAAATCAGGATAACAATTAATAATGTGAGGGGGGTTTTAGGGTTGGGTAGTCAAGATCTATTTTTGACCTACATAGTAATTATAAGTGTATTTGCCTTTTTTTTTTTCTTTTTCTGAGACAGAGTTTTATTATGTCGCCCTCGGTAGAGTGCCTTGGTATCATAGCTCACAGCAACCTCAAACTCTTGGGTTTAAGTGATTCTCTTGCCTCAGCCTCCTAGGTAGCTGGGAGTACAGTGCCCACCACAATGACCAGCTATTTCTTTGTTGCATTTGTCATTGTTGTTTAGCTGGCCCAGGCTAGGCTCCAACCTACCACTCTTGGTGCACGTGGCTGGCACCATAACCACTGCGCTACGGGCTCTCAACCAGCCTTTTTTTTTTTAATAGACAGAATCTTGCTGTTATCCAGGCTAGAGTGCAATGGCATCCGCCTAGCTCACTGAAACCTCAAACTTCTGGGTTCAAGTGATCCTCTCACCTTAGCCTCCTGAGTAGCAGGGACTACAGGTATAGTAGTCCCCACCCAGCTTAATTTTATTTCTAATTTTAAAGAGTAGAGATGGGATCTTGCTCTTTTTCAGGGTGGTCTCAACCCCTGACCTCAAGTGATCCTCCTGCCTCAGCCTCCCAGAGGGCTAGGATTACAAGTGTGGAGGCACTATGCCTAATGTCTGCCTTTTAATGTAGTAAACCATGTATTTGCTTCACGTGATTTTCATATCCATGTTTTATTTTATTTTTTGAGACAGAGTCTCAAGCTGTTGCCCTGGGTAGAATGCCATGGTGTCATAGCTCACAGCAACCTCTAACTCCTAGGCTCAAGCAATTCTCTTGCCTTGGTTTTTCTATTTAAGTAGAGACGGGGTCTCACTTTTGCTCAGGCTGGTCTTGAACTCTTGAGCTCAAGCAATCCACCCTCCTTGGCCTCTTAGAGTGCTAGGCTTACAGGTGTGAGCCACCATGCCCAGCTATGCATGTTTTATTTTAAAATGAGGAGTTTTTAGAGTAAAAAAGTATATACAACCACATTTTAAAAACTCTGCTATTACCTTAAAAAATCCAAATTTAAATATATAATCAACTTTTACCATGCTAATATGTAGAAATTAAAATACTTACTCCACAGTATTCAAGCATGTGAATAATTTCTTCTTCATAAACTGTCTGGTTATAATACTGTTTTTCCAGCTCCCTCCAATTAATTGATTTACTCAATACACCCTGAAATAATAAACTAAGTTAAGATCAAATCATACCATAAAGTATTTATACCTAATACTTTTATTATTGTCACTGTGCACAAAAGAGTTAACATAGCAGGCTTGAGACTGCCTATCCTTAGAAAGGTCTGCTTTTAGGGTTGGCCCTTGATGTGTGTCTGGGAACTTGACTAGTAAACAGTTCTTTACATTAATGTGAAATTTTCCCTGAATGATAGAGTCACTATGCCTCTATTATTTTACATTGTTTGTACATTTTGCTAAACACTGGTTTCCTTTCACTTTTTTTT